ACTGCAAATACCCTGCCCTTTTTCTCTCTTTCCTTTTAATTTTTTCCTTCCAATGTGGACAATCATAAAAGGCATATACAAAACTCGTGGTATTAAACTGTTTTACTAAAATGGGATCTCATTATATACATTTTTCTAAACTTTGTCTTTCTCACTTAAGATATACGATGGAAATCCTTTTAGAACGTATTTGGAAATCCTTTCAACTCACAGGTATGGATTTTAACTCCTACTTTCAATTGATCTAAAAAACATCCCATAATATGCCTGTGCCATAATTTATATATCAATATCCATCTTGATAGGCAATCCCTTTGTTTTTAGATTTTTGCTACTACAAATACTGCTGGAATCAACATTCATGTAAAAACTTATTTACTAACAGGTACTTTTATTTCTAGGGAAACGATTCCATAGAGTGGGATTGCTGGATGAAAGAATATGTATTTTCAACACTAACAGATACTGTCTGGTTGTTTTCTAAAAATGCTGTAACTATTTACAACTCTAGTAGCATCTAATGAGAAAATCCTTTACTGCACAAAACTGCTAGCAGGTTTATCACTTAATTTTTGAAAGTCAAAAAAGAATATTTTATTGTTATACTGACTACTAGTGAGATTACACATCTTTTCATAAGTTTGTTGTTTAGATTTCTCTTCTGTGAAGTTCTGGTTGTATGTTTTATCCATGTTTCGATTGTGCCGACTTTTTCTTACAAATGTTAACTTTTTGTTATACATATTTCAAACTTTTTTTTAATCTACCTTTTGTCGGGTTTTTTTGCCATTGAAAAATTCTTCATTTCTATGTAGTCTCATATATTTACTTTTATGACTTTCAGATTTCCCATCTTGGTTTAAAAGGTCATATCGCTACATCCAGATTGTATGTATAAAGAAATTTAGGAGATTCATATTTTAAAAGTTTTATTGTTTATATTTAAACTTTTAATCATCTGAAATTGGGGTTTGCGTATGCTGCAAAGTACTGGCTCAATTTTATTTTCTTCTAGACAGACAAGTTGTGTCAGTTTACTATATATGTACCCTTATTTCCCACTGAATTAAAATATCACTGTGTCATGTATTAAATTCCTTTATATGTTGGAATTTGCTTCTGCTTCTTAAAATTCTGCTGCACTTACATAAGCCTAAAAATATACCTGTAGCTATAAAATTTAAAAACTTATTCAGTTATCTGGATAAGTAAAAACATTTTCACCTAAGATATCCAAGTAATTAAGAAGAAATCATTATGTAAATGTCCTAATGCTCCACAGCAAATTTTAAAAATTTTGCTGCCCAAAGCAATGACTATTAACTGTAGAAAAATCAAATATACACAAATTATAATTATAAATTTTAAATTTTTCTTTAATCTAATCTAGAGATTACCTTGATAGTTTCCTTCCATCTTTTCAAATATGTATATACAATCACTACTACATATAGTTCTTTATCATGCCCTTTTTTCAATTTTACAAGTATTTTCTAATTTAGTCTTCTCTATTTTGCTTTTAAATAAACACTTAAAAAAATTAAACTAGGGCCGGCCTAGTGGCGCGATGGTTAAGAACTGGCTTAGGACACCAGAGGGCCCCGGTTCAGATCCCACATATGAGGGCCAGTGACACTCCCCTCCACAGCTAAGATGCTGAACAATAGCTCAACCTGGAGCTGGGCTGCCATGATTCGCCGGGGAAGGCGTAGGCTACAGCCCCTGTGGCAGTGGGTTGCCATGGGCTACCATATGTGGCCAGCAGCCAGCGTGAGCGGCCAGCAGCCGCCGTGAGCGGCC